CCGAGGCTCGCACCCTGTTTTGTTTATCACGGGGATTATCGGATCGCAGAATAAGGTTGTTGGCCCCGGTCTACAACAACAACGGTTCCGGTTTAAACATTCTTCATAATGTATTGAAGAATCGCGCTCTCGCGCGGGACTTGTTCACAGTGTATGCAGAAGTCGAACTCTCGCAAGGTATGTTCTCGTAACTAATTCCGACGCTGCGCCTTCGACATTCAGGAATCACGTTCTTGCTTTGGCCTATCTCATGATTTACTTTGGAATCGCGCTGTCGTTCCAGACATTCTCGCGATTCAGCAGAACGCACGCTTCAGCAACACGCCTGCTCGACCTGGCCGCCTGGGCCCGCTTTCCCGACCCACTCGCGCAAATGTCGGCCACATGTCAGAGAACCTTGGTGTAGGCGCGAGGGTTGGAACATCAACATCTACATATGTTTGGTTCCTGGTGAAGGAGCAGGTGGAGGAGGGAGAGGAGGAAAAAGAAAACACGAGGAGGAAACCGAGGAGGAGAAATCTGATGATGGTGATGATGCTGATGTTGATGACGATGAGGATTGAGATTACGGTGGCGAGGCTGATGACTATTGTGATGATGATGGTGGTGATGATGATGTTGATGATGATGGTGGCGATCATGGTGCTGCTGACAAGGATGATCATGCCATGGTAACGTGGACCCAAACATCGTTTGTTCCGTATCGTCCTTCTTGTCACGACGTACGCCGTGAGTGCGCGCGAGGACGATGATTGTGGCGATGATGATGGGGAGCTTGGCGATGTTGATGATGAGGAGGAGGATGATGTTGATGATAAGGATGATCATGAGGAGGAAGAGGGGGAAAAGAAGGAGGATGAGGAGCAGGAGGAGGAACATGAGGACGAAGAGGGGGACGAGGAGGAGGAGGAGGAGGAGGAGGAGGAGGAGGAGGAGCGTTGCCGGCGTCGCCGCAGCGTTCGGCGTCCTCGGCCCCAGGTGTGCGGCGTGGTGCTGGCGCGCGCGGCGGCCACGGGCTTTGGCGTGCGCGCGCGCCGCAGCCGTTGCCACGTCGCGCGGTGCAGCACAGCGTGCCCCGCAAACTTTGACACGTCGCCGAAGGCATTAGAGTTCTGCCCTCAATGGGCGCAGTCGAAAGCTCCACAACATCGGGGATTGGCGCTAGACCCTCGCATATATATATATATATATATATATATAGATATATATATATGTTCATATACATATACATGTACGTATATGTATACACACATAAAACCATATGCATACATACATATTCCTATTCTTATATTTTTTTTACTACCCGGACCCCCCACACCCCTACCCTAAACTGGCCCCCCCAGGGATGTTTTAGATGCCCTTTCGGACGTCTCAGCGGCCCCTTGAACGCCCTTGGGAAAGGTCCGCTGGCCCTTCCGGGCCTCCCAGGGCGCCTTGCCGGGCCTTGCGAGCAGATTCAAGGCGATCAGAGGAGTCATCGGAGAGGCGCAAGAGAGACCCAAGACAGCACAAGAACGCTCCAAGAGGAACCTCGATGGTCTGAGGACGGCCCAAGAGGCCTCCAAGACGCCCCAAGAGACTGTTAAGAGAGCCCCGAAGAAGCAAACATCGCCCCATTCCCGAGGTTAAATCTATAAGTTTAGCATATCCGCTGATTGGGACCTCGCAGCGTCCAAGACGGCACGATGGGCCCCCGATATCGCCCCAAGACGGCCCAAGAGGACCCCCAGAGGGTTTGATGACGGTCCAAGGGGGCCCCAAGACTGCCCCAGAGATCCCCGAGACTGCCCGCAAGAAACCCAAGATGCCCCTAGAAGGCTCCCAAGAGAGATCCACGAAAGCTGTGGGAGACCCCTACGAATGCCACTGGAGGCCCCCAACAGGGCCCTAGATGGCTTCAGAAGACCTCTGGAGGGCCCCATCTCCCCAAGACGGCCCAAGAAGGCCCCGGGACGGCCCAAGAGGGCCCCAGGACAACCCAAAAGACCCCAAAACGGCCCAGACGGCGTTTTCCTGCGAAGTACATCGAGCTGACCCGACGATATTGGTTTGACGTTTGAGGCTCGAGGTTCACGTTCCTCGATCGAGAGAGACAGGTAATGGATTTAGATTCGAAGTTCCGCGATCGAAGATTCCCTGTGGCCGCACCGAGGCGCAGCGCTGCTGCGCCGTGCAGACCCCTGGAGGCGCGCAGGCCTCTGGAGGCCCGCAGAGAACCCGCGTGCCGAAGTCTGCGGAGGCCTGCGCGCGCCAACGTCCACGGGGGCCGTGGGTGGGGCTCCCTCTTGGGCACGTTCGGTATGGGAATGCCGAAATGGGTGGGGGCCCGCATGCGATTTTGCGCTTCGGAACGGTAGGTGGAGCTCCCCCACGGTCCCCCACGGGAGAGGGAGAGAGCGAGAGAGAGAGAGAGAGAAAAAAAAAAAAAAAAAAAAATCCCGGCAAAGCAACCTAACAGCGATGTGTAGGAGCATATCTGGAAGCATTCCCCTTAAGATTCAGATGAGAATCCAGTTGTAGAATTGTGCTGTTCTCGCAGTCGTAGTCGCATTCGCGATGACAGTCGCAGTGGCAACGGCAGTCACAGACACAGCCTCAGCCTCAGCCTGCCTCAGCCTCAGCCTCAGCCTGCCTCAGCCTCAGCCTGCCTCAGCCTCAGCCTCAGCCTGCTTCAGCCTCAGCCTCAGTCTGCCTTCAGCCTCGGCCTCAGCCTCAGCCTGCCTCAGCCTCAGCCTGCATCAGCCTCAGCCTCAGCCTCAGCCTGCCTCAGCATCAGCCTGCCTCAGCCTCAGCCTCAGCCTGCCTCAGCATTCAAAATGTGGCCCGGGAATGTAGTTCTGGGAACTCGAAGAACACGAAGTGGCCTACAGTTGGCTCCGGGCATTCAAATTCATGCCCAGGAATGGAGTTCTGGGAACTCGAAGACCACGAAGTGGCCTACAGTTGGCTCCGGGCATCCAAAATGTGGCCCGGGAATGGAGTTCTGGGAACTCGAAGACCACGAAGTGGCCTACAGTTGGCTCCGGGCATCCAAAATGTGGCCCGGGAATGGAATTCTGGGAACTCGAAGAGCACGAAGTGTGTGACTGTTGCATCCAGCCCTCCAGAATGTGGCCCGGGAATGGAGTTCTGGGAACTCGAAGAGCACGAAGTGTGTGACTGTTGCATCCGGCCCTCCAGAATGTGGCCCGGGAATGGAGTTCTGGGATCTCGAGGAGCACGAAGTGTGTGACTGTTGCATCCGGCCCTCCAGAATGTGGCCCGGGAATGGAGTTCTGGGAACTCGAAGAGCACGAAGTGTGTGACTGTTGGTGAAAAACGAGCGGGGCCCCCTGCCGCCCGGCAACTCGCAACGCCTGCCCGGACCCCCCTGTGGAGTGATCTGTGAGCTCTTTTTACCCTACTAGAAACCTATCAGTCTTCGCTGTTAGGTAAAAAAAACAAGAGAAAGAGAGAGAGAGAGAGAGAGAGAGAGAGAGAGCGAGACGCCGTGCACGTCAGAGGTGCATGGGCAGGAAAAGCGGCGCCTGCATGACAGCCGTTGAACGCAGTGACGCAATGCGAGAAACAGCCGAACTCTCGGCATCCGCGGCTCCATGGGCACGGAACGTTTCAAACTCTGTCATGCACATTCTTCTCGCCAAGAAGCCCACTGGTGGACGACCCTGGAGAACAATAGCAGCAGGGGGCAGAGGAGGGAACGACACCCGGGGACGGGGACGAATCCAGAGCCAGGGGAGGGAGGGGAGCGAGCGACAGGAGACGACGGCCGAGAGGAGGGGGGGGGGAAGACGAACACCCAGCGACAACCCTGGGGACGAGTAGGAGAGAGAGAGCAGGCATGGGAACTCTGCACCTTGGGATCGTGGGCGGAGCTTCCTGTCAAGCGTTTCTTGGGTGAGGGGTGTTCCGAAATGGGAGCGGGCCCGCATGTGGCCCTCCCCCGGGGGTCGTAGGTGGAGCTTCCTTTGTGTGAGGGATGTGCTCACGTTGGCGGAGGCCCGCATGTGGACCCGCCCACTGGGAGCAATTCAGTGGGGGCGCTTATTAAGGAGTGCCCATGAGGCCTTGACCTTGGAGGAGTCCTTATGTAATGGTTTCATGGCCAATCCACGATTTGACTTCCACTGGCTTCCAGACCTTGGATTCCTTATCCAACAGTATATAGAGTCCCTATGAAGCAGACCCCCCATGTGCACGGGGTGTGTGCTGAAATATGCGCGGCCCCGCATGTGAACTTGCCCACTGGGGTGATACGGTGGAACTCTCTATGGGGCATGATCCACGCGATGGGTGCGCCGAAATGGGCTGGGGATCACATGTGACGGCTCCTGTATAGGGCGCGATTCGTGTTATGGACATGTCGAAATGGGCTTGAAGACGCCTGCTGAGGCCGCAGAAAGTCCCCTGTAGGACACGATCCGCGAATAGGGTGTGCCGAAAGATGTGAAAACCCACATGCGAGTACACCAACTTGGGCCGTGGGTGGAGCTTCCCGTGGGGCGCGATCCGTGTGAGCGGTGTGCCCATGCGGACGCCGGCCGACAAACAAATTTGCCAATTAGGGCCGTAGGTGGATCTTCCTGTGGGGCAAGATCCGTGTGAGAGGTGTGATGGGTGCTACCAGTGGGGCACGACTCTTGTGAGGGACGTGCCGAAGTTTGGAGACGTCCGCATGCTAACTCGCCCTCTGGGGCTGTAGGTGGTGTCCGCCATGGGGGGCGGAGCAATGCGGGGGTGTGCTGAACTGTGCGCGGGCCCGCATGCAGACCTGCCCGCTGGGGCCATGGGCGGAGGTCCCCGTAGGACGCGATCCGTGTGATGGGCGTGCAGCAGCGATCCGTAGCCATTTTCGCTCAAGGACTTGGCTCAAGACGGCCTTGGCGACTAGAAACTCCTATTATCCAAACATGCTCGGAACCTCTCACAAACCTCTCATACATCTTGCTTCCGATCTACACCGATCATCGTTCATGCATCTTCGTCTGTCCAGAGCGCGCATGCGAGCTTTTTTTGTGTATGCTCCGACCGAGCCTGAGCAGAAGAAACCGCGCGAGCAGGAGGGTGCCCTCAGCACAAAGGACAAGAACCTCGTCGATGTCCTGACCCACGTAATCGATGACCGGATGTGGAGGCAGGCGGAAAAGATCGATCGCACGCTCGGCGTCATGGCGCAGGCCACAGATCAGCAGTTTTCGGACCTGCGAAAGGAGCTCGACGCCGAGAGGAAGGCCAGGAAGGCGTTAGAGGAGGTGATGAGGAAGGAGTTCATTGAGATCAAGAGGCAGGCATCCCAGCGGGCCAGCTCCATGCCGTCCTCTTGACGCACCACTTCATTTTCTCTAGGGTATGTAGAGATTAAGGGTTGGTGCGAGTACTCAGAGAGGCTCGATAAAAGGAGCAACCAGGGCGGTGGCGGATGAGATTCGCAAGAACTTGTTCCAGAAAGTCCCCCAGGAGATCCAACACCTTTTTCGGGCCCATCCAGCTTCGCGGAGGCAAGAACTATTCCATCCGCATCAAGATCCACCAGGATGTACTTCAGGAGGTCCACGGCCTGTGGAAGGACAGTCTTGCAGCCGGCGAGGGCGACCTCCCGGACAAGCAGCGGCCGTACGTCACCATGGAGAGGGCTCCGGAGGTCCAGGGTAAGTACGCGCTCCTTGGGAAGATAAAGCAGTTTATCCATGGGAAGCTTCAGGGTGATCGTCGTTCAATTCGTTGCCATTGGTCTCCGGAGTTCGCCATCTACGAGGAGGGTGCGGGTGAGGGGAGCGAGATCCACATCGGCAGCGTCACAGACTCGCAGACTATTGCATGGGGACCTTCCGCTCAGGAGCTTCTCGGGGACACGCCGGTTGAGCTGACCAAGCAGGTCAAAGCAAAGCGTCGTCAATAGGGGGGCCCCGGCAACGCCGACACTCCGACATCTGCATGTAATTTGTCTTGGAATTCGCAGAGAAAAGGAAAGCGACGGATCGGGGAGATCACCAGTGATCTGAAGTCCAGGGGGCTTCGCTCATCTTTTGTGCTACGCCAGGAGATTCCCACTTGGGAACTAGGGGCGTGTTCACACAATTTCGTTGTACATAAATGGCACGGTGCTGGCTTGGACGCGGGCTCTGGAGATTGCGGGGCCCTGGTCCAACGAGCGTTCAGTCACGTGGTCCGCCTAGGGCGGGGTGGCAAGTATTGGATGGGCGTCCTCGTTGGCACCCTCGTTTTGTTATCTTGCCATTTCGCTATAGACGGCTTGGCGGCAGAGTTGATAGAGGGGACAGTCGAATTCATACAGGAGTGTCGTCAACGAGTTTCACCCGACACCATTCGCATCATTGTTGGTTTTGACGGCAACGTGACCTTGCCAGGCAAACTCTCCGACCTTATTGGCTCTCTCGTCCTACCTCCTCTTCGATCCCATTCTCCCAGCATGCAGAAGACACTCTGTTCGTGGATGGCGGCATTGGGAATCCGTGCCATGAACACTTTCGGTTAAGCACCTAGCACCAACTTCCGTGAACGACTTTGGACTTGCGGGGTGAAGAGAGTTCTCGAAGCCCGCTCTCAGATCGACTTCATTGGGGTATCGCCGAATATCTGTGGCCATGCCGCACCTTGGCAAGATCCCCCAGTTTCATCCTGGACCAACGTGGACCATGGGCCCTTGATCGCAGATACTTCTTGGCATTGCATAGGGGACAAGACCCGAGGATTTGAAGGCATCTCGCAAGGTTGGGCTCCAGCCAATCAGGTGCAGCACGACGCCTTCCTCAACGAGTGCATTGACCACGAGATTTCGGCCTCGTCCCTGACCTCCCTGGAACCCAAAGTGTTGAGCATTGCAGAATCCGTTCAGCACACTACTAGCAGGTCTCGGATGACAAGATCAGCAAACGACTTGTTAAACAGGACTTCGAGTTTACGTCGAGACAGGGCTACACGCACACAGTTTACTAATCATCGTAAGCTGCAGAGACTTTGCCGTGGGCCCCCACGTGTCACATCTACACCCACCTACATGGATATTGGTGGGGTTTTGACCTTTGACCGGGAACAGTGGTAAGATGGAGCCTACGACTTTGGAAGGAGTCGTTTCCAGGATGATTCGAATGACGCGAACTCGGAGCAGCTTCGTTTGCAAAGTCTGTATGCTCAGCACGTTGATCGCAGGGTTGATGGCTTGGGACGCCCCGTGGACATTGAATATTTCGACGTCCTCCATGCCAGAGCTGCTCTTCGGACGGTGGCCGCAACAGGCCCTGATGGCGTTCCGGCGGACGTGTGCAACTTGAACCCGGATATCCTAGTGCTGCACGTGTGGGAACTGTTCCGGGGCAGGGCGAATGTTCGAGATTCTGGGCAATCACCTTTCTGGAACATATGGGAGTTTTCGGCATCCCGAAGGTCAAATCTGCCACTGAGCTCTCGAACGCGCGGTGGATAGGGAAGTTTCCAGAATTGCAGAAGCGGTGCGTGCGATGTCTCCAGCCGACGCTCCCACTACAAATGCGACCATCGTGCGTTCGCACACATGGCTTCAAGTGGCGCCGCAAGACGACCGACATACACGGCATGATTCGGCAGCTACTGCACCTCGGACACGGACGGGGGCTGCAGGTACACATCGCTGTGCGAAATGTGCAAGCAGCTTTTGATGAGATGAGCCGCGAGCATGTGTCAACTGCTATGATTGATGGGGGAGCCTCATGCCATGGTCACCCTTCTCCTGAATGAATTGTCTGGGTTGCAAGCTTTTCTCACATTACTTGGCGCTGGGTCTACAAAGCTGCCCCCATTTGCAAAGGCAGGGAGGGGTCGAAACACCTAGCGAGTGGAGCGTGCTCCTCGAACATGTACTTAACCCTGTTGTGCGCGCCTGGAGTCAGTTGGATTGCAGGGTGCACTTCGACGACGGCATCATCATTAGCCACGCAGTGTGGGCAGATAACATTATCCTTTTCTCGTCGTCGCGCGCCCAACTCCAGGGCATGGTAGTGCAGCTCACTGATGCAATCAACCGACTTGGCCATCATTGGAAGCCGCCGTCTTTGGAGCACCCGCGCTCCGAAGGCACGACGGAACCAAGAGCGCCGCTGCAGATCGCGGGCGCGGGGCCAGCTTAACTTACAAGGAGTTGCCGCGCATTGCGTTATTAGGTGGATGCTTACATAGACGAGGGGGCACTGGCACCTCCATGGATTATCGTCTCGGCCAGGCCGGCGCTGCGCATTTCAAGCGCTCCCGGTTATCACGTTCACGCGGTAATTTTGGAAGTGGAATTCAGGCTTGGCGGACGACAGTCGCATCCTTTGCAATCTTTGGCGTTTGCACGTGGCGCGTTTCGCAGCGCAGTTTGGGCCGCATTCGAACTTGAGAATTGCGGCGGTTGCGGTGCACGTTGAGGCTTCGGCCAGAACTGGACGAAAGCAGAATGCAATTCAACGTCCGGGGTGCTTCCAAAATCTACAACTGGCTCCATATGTTCAAAGTGCCTCTTGTTCATCACCAAGTGCTTCTTTCAATTCACGCCGTAGCTTGGGGCGAACAGCAAACGGTTGTTGGTTTGGGCGACGCCCCGCTGCAGGTGGTGAGGGAACGCAACTCTGCTCACGTGTGGTTGCTGGCCCAATCGATGTCCCTTGGAGAACGTCGCGACCGAGGCTCTGTGCATTCCACGCCAGGCTGGGCGGCTACATCGTGGGAAGCCCCGCTGGTTCTTGTCTATGGTGAGTGAAGGTTGGAGGGCCTACCGGGACACGTTTCCACATAGAACGTCGTGGTTCTCACAGGCTGGTGTGAGTTCGTGGACAATATTGGCAAGTTATGGCGCTTACCTTAGCTTCCAACTTCGGCTGCTGGACCGGTTCACTATCCCGTGGAAGAGCGCGTGCAAGGTGATGCGCGCGCATTCCAAAACATGCCATGTCTTGCACCCGGGCGACAACCATTGGCACAATAGGTTCCGGCGGTTGCGAGTTGTTGTTGTTGTTGTTGTTGTTGTTTGCAAGACGATATCCGGCCTCTTCACAGGCAGCGCGAAGCTCCACTCGGATTACCTGAGATCGTTCTGCGTTCGAGTCGGTCGCCGATTGGCGGAGTTGTTCGCGAAGGGAATCAGGGCTTGTGCCAATACTTCATCACCTGTGAGGTGGCGGAAACGGAAACACAACGCCGCTGCGGACAATTTGGCGAACATGGCATTCGATACCGGGCAGGACGTTTACCGTGAAAGCGCGCTTGCTCAACACTTAGCCCTGGCGCCTGTTTCCAACTGAGACAGACGGCGGTTGGCGCGCGGGCAAAGGCGCAGTGGGCTGGATATGGTATAGGGTTGTCCGAGACAGCCAGGGCAAGAACGCAACCTTACCAGTTGAGGTAGCTTGCGGTGCAAAGTTTTTGGGGCGTGCAGCGTCTTCTTTTCAAACAGAGGCGATCGCCCTGGAGACAGGTCTCTCCCACTGTGTACGCATGTGGCTTTCCTCCTTAAGCTGTCAGTAACGCCACCTTGTGTCAGACGCACTGCACGTGTTGTCGGGGATGATGAGGGGTCGCTATGGCGAAACCGGTCTTAAAGAAAGGGAGGCAACCGGCGCGGGCCCGCATGCGACGCCCATTCGGACATGGTGAGGAGGAGGCGGCGGAGGCGGAGGAGGAGGAGGAGGATGCTGAGGAGGAGGAGGATGAGGAGGAGGAGGAGGAGGAGAGGAGGAGGAGGAGGAGGTAGAGGGGGAGGAGGATCATGAGGGAGAGGGCGGGAAAGTGCGCACGGCGTTGCGGATGGATCGCAACACAACCCACCAGTCACGCCTCGTGGCTCGAAGTTGGCACCATGATCACCCCGTCATTACGAGTTGACCTTATGATGATCCCACAGCGACCCCACAGGGCTCGGTTCGATTCCTCCGATTCGATTCGATTCGATCCCGATAGATTCCGATTCCGATTCGGTTCGGTTTGGGGATCCGATTTGGGGTCCGATTTCTTATGGGAACCCTACTAGCCTGCCGATTTCCGCCGATTCGGCTTTTCCCAGCTTGCCTGCCGATGTCCGCCGATCCGATCCGTTCCGATCGCCGAATCGACTTATCGATTCGACTGTGGGCCCGCCTGCCCCGAGACCCCTAAATGGCCCCACGATGGCCCCAGGGACCACAACCACGCCATGGATCCAGAGTTTTCCGGAATCGGCCCCTCTGCACCAGCAGGGGCCCAACGTGACCCCGGTATGACTTAGGATGCGGCCGAATATTTCGACGGGGGGGATACTTCGAGCAACCCAGATCGCTGCGCTTGGTCCGCGGTCAGTGTCTGAGCCTACCAATCCCGGCATACAGCTTGACGGCTCCTGTGTGTCGAAACAGCGTATGCACATTGAGAAGACTCTTCTTGAAGCCCTGATGCCACCAGATCGCACAGTATCACTGGTAACGCCGAGGGGCATTTTTGGTAGTGCTCTGGCGGAATGACGCCAGTCGGAAGGCGGCGCTGCGGGCGCATCACAAGCCAGACAGGCGACGTCCTGATGTTTTCCATGCGGGGTCCTTGGAAGTCCTGACCCTTTCCCCGGGACGGGTTTTTCATCCCGAGTCGTTTTTTGACGGCCCCGAGGCCCGGCGAGGGCCCCCCGAGGCCGAAAGTGGCCAGAGACCCCCCGCCCTGATTTGTTTACGACGCGATCGCGTCCGGGAAGCAGCCGCCGCCGATGGCGACGACGACGCCGTCGACGACGACGACGCCGAGCCTCGCCGAGGCCGGTCTGCCCGCGGGCCGCGTCAGCATCGCCGTGCCGCTGCGGCGCGCGCGCCCGGCGCTAGCGCCGCCCCCGGTGGCGGCCCGGTGGCACACAAATTCCCCCCCGAGGACTGGCCCACTCTCGCCCAGGAGGGGTGCCCTCCTCCTCCCTCCCCAGGAGGGGTCCAGAAGACATGATGGCGTTGTTCAAAAGACAACAGGACGGGGTGTGTGTGTGTGGCCATTTTCGGCCTCGGCGGCCCTCGCCAGGCCTCGGGCTTGTCAAACGACGACTCAGAACGAAAAACCAGTCCCGGGGAAGGGTCCGGACTTCCAGGGGCCCTCCCTTGAAAAAATTCAGGACGTCGCCTGTCTGGGTCCAGAAGACCCTCAGGCTCAGGGAGCTCTCGCGGGCTACCTCGGCTTCAAGAAGCTTCCCAGACAGTTCGGGAGGGCACCCGCAAGTCACCAACACGGCCCAGGGATGACACAGGACGCCTCGGGATGATTTCAAGACGGCCTCTAGTGCGACGAGATGCTTCAACACACGATCCAAATTCCCAGAGAGGCCCAGGGCGCCAGCCATCAGTCAAACAACTGATTCTCAAGACGGTATTTGGTATCCAGCTGCCTGCGGTAAGCCCCACCAACGTGCCAGTCCAGCATTCAGAGTGGCGACTGTTCGAGGGGGCACCGGGAGGCCGTCACGTGTGACACATCGTTCTTTTTGTTCAGGCTTTGGAGAGCTGTGATGAGTATGATGAGCCTGATGCTGATGATTTGATGAGCATGATGATGCTGATGATGAGGATTGCGATGATGATGGTGTTGATGATGGTGATGCCGATGGTTAGGACGATAAACATGTTGATGGTGATACTGATTTTGATATTGCTGTGGATGTTACCATTGATGTGGATGACGATGCTGATCATGATGATGACGATGACGACGATAATGATGATGATGATGATGATGATGATGATGATGATGATGATGATGATGATGATGATGATGATGATGATGATAGTGATGAGGAGGATGAGGATGCGGATGAGGATGAGGATGGAGACGAGGATGAGGATGAGGATGAGGATGAGGATGAGGATGATTAGGATGCACATCATGATGATACTGATGATGATGCTGATGATAATGATACTGATGCTGATGCTGATGCTGATGATGATGATGATGATGAGGAGGATGATGATGAGGATGATGAGGATGAGGATGAGGATGAGGATGAGGATGAGGATGAGGATGAGGATGATAATGATGATGATGATGATGATGATGATGATGATGATGATGATGATGATGATGATGATGATGATGATGATGATGGTGATGGTCTTGTTGACGATGATGCTGATGATGCTGACGATGAACGAGCGGGCCGGTCACGGGCGCCATCTCGAATGACAACAAATATACACGGGCTCCGCCGAGAACCCCTCGGGGGCGACCTGATCACCCCTGGGCGGTGGCCTCGGCTTCTCTTAGGCGTTCGATCCGGGGCCCCGCTGTCGAACGCGACCGGCCGACTTTCGCGCCGGAGGCCGCCGAGGACCGCCAGAAAGATGCCCAAGACCGGGGCCGACGTGCAGCAAGGGGCCCAGGACTCGAGCAGGGGATCGACCACAGCATCGGATCGCCCCAGAATCGGTGCTCTCCTCGAGCGTAGGAAGAACGCGTAGAACGCTCGTCGATCATTCCACGCATCTGTGCAGATTCGGCGGGAAAACCTATCTTGGGGGCAGGTCGCTTCTGCAGTCGATCCCCTGCCCGAGGGATCGAAGGCGCAGCGCCTCCTCTCCTGGAGGCTCGGGGCGCCTCGGGCCTCGGCGGGTCCGCGCCGCGGCAGGCGCGCGCCCGCCGCGCAGCGCCGCCGCGCGCCCGCCGCGGTCGGCGTCCCAGCGAGGGGCGAGCCCGTGGGAGAGGCGAGAGCAGGGCTGGACCCAGACGTGGGCGAGGCCATCTTGGACACCTGGGCGACCCTCCGCCCCCCCCCCCCTGTCCAGGTCCAGGAGGAGGAGGAGGAGGAGGAGGAGGAGGAGGAGGAGGAGGGAGGAGGGAGGAGGAGGAGGAGGAGGAGGAGAGGAGGAGGAGGAGGAGGAGGAGGAGGAGAGAGGAGGAGGAGGAGGAGGAGGAGGAGGAGGAGGAGGAGGAGGGGGATGGGGAGGGGGGAGGGGGGGGGGGAGGGGTCAAGACGCCCTCCCCGCCCGCACGCCGTCTCGCTCACTCCCACCCGCCCTCCCAACACATGAGCCCAGACATGATCGCGTCGTAATAAAAAATCAGGACGGGGTGTGTTTGGCCATTTTCGGCCTCGGGGGGCCCTCGCCAGGCCTCGGGGTCGGCGACAGAACGACTCAGGAGGAAAAGCGTGTCCCGAGGAAGAGGTCGGGGTTTTCAGGGACCCCGTCCTGAAAAAATCAGGACGTCGCATGCCTGGGGTGGGAGAAGTGAGAGCAGGGCTTGAGCCAAACGGTGTTTTGGCGATCTGGTTGGCCGAATTCGTTTTGATTTGTGTGGCGCTCCAACAAGGGGCTCTTTTGGCTTCAGAGATGGAAGGAGTTGCTGTCTCTTCCGCGGCAGAGGGCGGCGTAAGACCGGCGGAAGGTCGGCGGAAGTCAAACGAGGCCGCCTCCGCCGGCGGAAGCCGGCGGAAGGCTGGCGGAAGGCGGCGAAAGTTAACGAAAGTTAGTGATGCGTCCCCAAGTTGATGGTCGGAGGCCGTCCGAGCCTTGTGGGAAGGCCCGCCCACTTGCTTATCCCTTGCTGCGATGCCCGTCATCGGTTTGGGAAGTTGATGCTGACTCATGGTAAGCTGCTCCAGCTCAAACTTGGAATTCTCCACTTTAGTACATATGCACCACTCGACATACCAGAATATAAACTCCGCGTGTTCGCCAAGCAGTGCTCGCACTCAGGGGTTCTCGCGCATTTGCTTGGAACTACTGTGCGTGTGTGGCGGTCTGGCAGCTATGCTGTCGCGGTCGCCGCTCTGTCGCCGCTTGTGCCGGTCTGGCGGCTATATTGTCGCCGTCGTCGCCCTGTCGCTGTTCTCGTCGCCGCCCGTTGTCTGGGCTTGTGTGGCGGTCTGGCGGCTATGTTGTCGCCGTCGCCGCCTCATTGCTGCCCGTCGTCAGGGCTTGGATGGTGGTCTGGCAGCGATGTTGTCGCCGTCGCCGTTCCGTCGCCGCCTCGTCGCCGCCCGTCGTCTGGACCTGGGTGGCTGTTTGGCGGCTACGTTGTCGTCGTCGCCGCCGCACACCATATTTTCTCCCCTCACATGAGAATATATGATCTACCTCACCCCGGGATTATCCGCCCGCCTTTTCGAGTCGCAATTTACATACGACTATGCCCCATCGTCCATCATAAATATGACCTCGTACCATCCCCGCCAGGCTGGTATCGACCCCCCCCCCGCGCGCGGTTGTTCATCACACACCACGCCTTTTCGAAAATATGCTCCAAACCTTGTGACGAAGTATACACGCGCGCGTCGTCGCGCCCGCATTCCGACATCATTCGAACATTTCAGGTGTCGTTAGGTAGGCGTTCAACATCGAGTGTTCCGAAAACGTGTTTGATATATCGATAGGCGTATAGATATATAACGAGCACATGGTGTTGCAACTCCTGTTCTCGAACAAAATGGTCTGCGCACGCACTGCAGCACATCCCCCGTATGCTACCTAACCTGCCTCTAGCGCGTGCGTGTCGCAAACGTTCGAGCGCCCTGCGCGCGTGCTGGGGAGGGGCACTTCCCAATTATTTCCAGTCGGGCCACTCGCGCGCGTCGGCCGCGTGCGCATGCCGAAGTCCTGTCGAACTGTCATCACCGACGCGGGAAAACCATCATCGTCACCGGCGTGATCAACATTGGCGCCGTGCTTGGCCTTGCCGTCGTCGTCGTCAGCGTCGTCACCATCATCGCTACCATCATCATCATCGTGTCTGCCGTCGTCGACGTCGCCATGGTACCGCGCCCGCCCACGCCACCGACTCGCCATGGTGTGCCCGCGTGTCAGCGCGGCCTGTGAGACGCGCTGGGAACTGCCAACTGATCAGCGCCACCGCGGTCGCGTCGGTCGCTGCCAAACTAGCTGGCCGCTGTTCGCGCGAGCATGCGCGGGCTAGCGCGGCTGCAGAGATGCACCAGCCGTCACCAAGCACTCATCGCAATCCCCGCCACATGGGCTTTGCAAGCCAAGTTGCGCGCGGATGGGTGGGACGATTGCGCGAACAGGGGGGATGACAGTTCCGAGTCTTGCAAAAGTGATTGCACCACGTAGATTGCGCACCACAGAGGTTATCTTTCCTAGTAAACAATCAAATCCCACCCCTTGGGATTACCCGTCGGGCCTCGCGTGGTGCTATCTACGCATGACCCTGGCTTGCGTTACCGCTCATTCAGAGTATGACTGCATAGCATCCCTGCCAAGCTGGTATCGACCCCCACCTCGCTCTCGTCAAGCCAGTATGTGCGCGCGCTCGTTTTTCACAAATCACCAGTTCGCAAACCGACTTGTTACAAGAAACGGAACGAAGTGCTGACGCGTGCGTCGTCGCGCGCGCATGCCAGAGCTTTTGAAACAACCTTACGGTTTCGTCAGTTTCAAGATCGAGTGTCCCGCGAACGTGTATAAGACAAGTGGTTTCGCAATCGGAATGTTCAAAACAGCCTGCCCGCGCGGTCTTGTGAATTCTTGAGCAACCCATCGGTTGTTCAACCTTTGCTACCAAACGTGCCTTTCGCGAGCGCGCATGCCCAAATCATTCGAATGCCCTCGCGCGCGTGCTGGGGGGGGCAGGATCCCTGTTAAATAACACCATGCAGCGATACGGGTCACCTCGCGCGCGTGGTCGAAATCTTTCCAACAGATGCATCACCGACGCGAAGTCACCATCATCGCCATGGGCGTGATCAGTATCGGTGCTGTCATTCTTTTTGCTGTCGTCATTGTCACCACCGCCAGAAAACATCGCTACAATCATCGTCGTGTCAGTCCTTATCGAAATCGCCATGATATCGCGCCCGCCCGAGGGCATGCCGAACTCATTCGGGCGCCCTTGAGCGCGCGCGGCTTCGCAAGAGCCTCAACGAAAACAGGACGAAGTGCACGCGCGCGCGTCGTCGCGCGTGCATGCCCAAATCCTTTCAATTTTTTTAGGTTCAAATTGAGTGTCCCGGAAACGTGTAAAGCAACAGTGGTTTCGCAAGCAAGTTTGTTCAAACAAATTTCCGACCGCGCTCTTGCGAATCTTTGGGGCAACCCGTAGTTGTTTAACATTCTCACACCATGCTACCAACAGGGCCTCGTAGCGCGCGCGTGTGTCGAAATTTTTCGAACGCCTTTGCGCGAGTGCTGGAGGGTGGGGGTGGTGGGCACCATCCTTGTCCAATATTGCAATTCGGGCCGTTTTTGCGCGTTTCCCAGCGGTCAGCGCCACCGCGGCCGCGTCGGTCGCGCAAGACCAGCCGGCCGCGGTGCGCGCGAGCATGCAGGCGTTAGCGCGGCCGCGAAGATGCATAAGCCAGCGCCAATCAGCCATCGTAGTCGCCGCCGTACGGGTTTTGCAAACCACGTTGCGGGTGGGTGAGCGCGATGGTTGCGCGAGCATGGGGGGTTGGTCACGCGCCAGGAAGTCATTGCATTACAAAACTCATCATTCCAAGCAGGATGTGCGTTTAACCCCTTTTGGGGTTGTGCACGAACAAGAGGGGCATGGCCAGAATGACCGCACACTGGAAGCAGAAGCGAGAAAATATTGTTCCAAATTTTGCTTGGGGAAGACAGCGATACTCACAAACGCCTTCCCCTGATCTCTGAGCGTGAGATGCATGGGGCACGGCGTCCGGGGCTTGCAGCATGGGTAGTCCGATATATGTACTTGGGCAAGAAACTGAATGTGGATACCAACCATGGGACAGCACTCACGCATCGAATCTGTGCTGTGTGGGTATCGCTCTCCCGTTTGAAAGATATTGTAATGGCCTCCGGCCCGTGCCGCCGATCCGGGGGCTCTGGATTCGGTGATCTTCGCGGCTTTGTGGCCTCCCCCCTCCTCGATTATTCCGGTTCTCTTTCTTCTCCTTGTGCCTCCCGTTGACCCTATGCTTCGCGTGGTCGCTCCCCTCTGCGTCCTCGGTGGTTGTGATGATGACGATGACGATGACGGTTACGATTCCGATTATGATGCTGATGTTGTTGATGATCGTGGTGATGGTGATGTTGATGATGATGATGATGATGCTGATGATGCTGATGATGCTGATGATGCTGATGACGATGATGATGATGATGATGATGATTATGATGATGATGATGGTGATGATGTTGATGATGATGATGATGATGATGATGATGATGATGATGATGATGATGGTCGTTGTGGCGGTGGTGGGGGGGGGGTGCGCTCTTGGGGTCGCCGGGGACGCTTTTTGGAGCTGGCGTGCCCTGTTTGGGAGGGAGGGTGCTCTTGGAGTCGTCAGGGACGCCTTTTGGAGCTGACGTGCCTGCCCTCTGGGGCGGTGCCTGGAACGGTCCCGGGGGGTGGTCCCGGTTCCGAGGGGAGGGTCCATGGGGCCGGTGGCGGCTAGGTCGGAGGGGGGCCCCTGGGACCCCCCGAAACATCCTCGGGATGCGCAAATCATTAAGACAACGCCAGATGGGACCGCCCCCCCCCCCTCCCCCTTTCCCCGGGCCCGTCCCCGGGGGGGCCCGGGGAGGCCGAAACATCTTGGGGATGCGCAAATCACCAAAAAGACGCCAGATGGGGGACCCCTGGCAGAGCCACCTCGGCGACCCCCCCCAGGCAGAGCTGAAACTCTTGCGTGGGCTCAGGGCTGAGGCTCTTGCTGAGGCTCCGTTGGTTCCGTGCCTGCTTCACCCCGAGCGTGCTATTTGCCGCAGGAACTTGGATTCACATGGTATAGATATATAGATCTCCGCACGACGCAGCGCAGCAGCAAAATGGTGCGCGTTGGACGTCTGCCAGATGGCTCCTGGGTATCACATGGAGCAAGCGACGCACATCACTGAAGATTTGGCCACCAGGTTCGGAGTTAGAGGACTGGACCGCGATGTTCAGGAAAGCGACGCAGGCGCTGACCGACCATACCTCTGTGTGCGCGGGCAGCAGGTGGAGTGGGAGAGCGCTCAGCTGGGCGCCGTGGCCTAGGGCCCCGTGCGCGAGAACGCGAAGCGGACGGCACACACGTTGGACCGACGATCCACGACGATTTCGCAGAATTCCACGTCCCAGGCCGCGTCGTCCCAGCAGTGGTCGCGGTCGTGCGCCGCGCGCGTGGGGTCGAGGGCGGGTGCGCTCCAACCCCGCGCCCCCTCCCCGACGCCCCCACGGCAATGCAGCACGGATGAGCAATTGGTTGCTTATGGCCACTTCTAGTGTCCACCGCAACTTCACGAAACGATGCACGTAAGTCAATTGCAGCGAGCGTCATTAGTTAAATTTGCGTGTGGTAACTCAGTAAGATGCACGTTCGTAAGCTGCCGTCCAATATCCGATGTGGTGCTATGGGGTAATATTCGGCAATGCGAACTGAGGCTTATCTTCCAGAAATTGTTTGGCCATTGCAAAGGGTTCGCCGCCGAGGGAAGCGGGGCCGGGCCCGTCGGCCAGCGGGGCAACCTGCAACCCCGAGGCGGCATTGGTCGCCGAGGCCGTCAACTTGTCGAGCGGGACGCACAGCGAGGCCGCCGGTGGGGATCGCAGTGTGCGGGGCTCGTGGGGCGCATGTGACTCCTCCTGCGCCCCCAAGCGGTGCGGCGACCACTGGCAAGGTCTCGGGATGCGCACACGCAGTCCTCCCCAATTTGTCCCAGCCCACGTGGCCTCCACAGGCCCCCGAGTAGTCTGGCCTCAACAGGCCCCCCGAGGAATCTCACCTGGCCCCAACAGCTTTCCCAGCTAGTCCCAGCTGGCACCAACAGGCCCCCCGAGTGGTCCCCGCTGGCGCCGCCTCCGGCGGCGCCCCGCTCGGCGCCACCGTTTTGCGGCGCTGAGACCGCCCCCTGTCTACTCGAGGGGCCTGTTGAGGCCAGCTTTAAGTCGGGCGTGTCCCTCTACAGGAGGGATATTCAAAAATAGATCCAAAATAGTCAAGGGATGATTTTTTGATTATTTTTGGCTAGTGTTGAACTTCTTTTGACTGCGGTTCGCTTTCTCACAAAATCCGCCTATAGGAGGACATGCCCGATCTAAGGCCAGCTGGGACTCATCGGGGGGCCTGTTGAGGCCAGCTGGGACTACCTGGTACCTGGGAGGGCTGTCTGCGCGTACCCCGAAGCCTTATGAGTGACCACACCGTGTGGTGACCGATAGTGGGGACTCGGGGTCACCTCAGGGTTTGGGGACTCGGGTCGTCTTCCGAGGATTACGCGGGCACTTGGGGCTTCCAAGGTCCCAAATGCTGCATCGACGGACTGTGCTGTGAGGACTTTGCGGATTTCAGCGTCGTCGCACGATCTGTCACCGCACCGCTATGGGACCACTAAAGATGGGCTCGGAGGACCGCGCCGCGTTGCCGACGGAGCATCGGCTCGATCGGGACTCCTCCGGTTTTCCGCGTCCCGGCGTCGCCGGTGCATCGGCGATGCATCGGCGATGCGGTGCGATTCTCCGATTTCGTCTAGTCTGCCTCCAGTGAGAAGGCGTGTCCTTTAAATCACACGTCGCGTGAAACATCTACTATGGTTGAAAATCACGACTGGAGCCCCAGACTTTTCTTCCTGTGGCATGCAGGATCGATATTTGAATGGCCCGGCGGGTGTAGGCACAGGAACACGTAGCCTTGTGGTCATTGCGGGCCCAGCATCTCAGGGTAGCGAGGCGTTGCGTATCCCTGGTTTCCAGGTCCGCTGCCCAGTAGTTCTCGCCGTGTCGACGCTTCCAGGGCGAGTCGTAGTTTGGACGCGGCTCACCGCACATCTTGTCTATCGTGGATGCAGCTTGGAAAGAACCATTCGCCCGTCCAATGCTGAGACACTTCGCGGGTATCTTCATCGGAGGCACCGTTCCGCGTGTCGGGGACGAGTCTCTCACCCCGGAGGCTCGGGCTCGTGTTCGCGTGGCGGTCGGAGCCGAGGTCTTCACGTCGGTACGGGAGGGCAATCTCCGTCTGAGCCGTCTATCGATGGGCGTGTTTTCCACCACCACCACCATAAGCTGAAGGGGGTGGGGTCCTCCTCCTCCTCCTCCTCCTCTTTCTCCTCTTCCTCCTCGCCCTCCTCCTTCCCCCCTCCAACTTATGGTGGTGGTGGTGGAAGACAGGCTCATCAACTCATTGCCTGAAGAGGAATGAGCAGCCGTCTCCTGGGCTGGTATATTAGTATGACACGCGTGTGGCTACGAGCCTCCCAGCCGTCAGGGACGGCAACATCAGCAGGTGGCACATGCCTCTGGAGTCGGTTCGCACTCAGGGGTACGTAGCAGGGGGTTACCCTGCAGCGGGAACCTCACCAGCAGGCGTACCTGCCTCGTGTTCGACACGCTCGTGCGAGAAGGCCCTGCATGCAACAAAAGCACGACGCCCGCACCTAAGTTTCGAGGTGCTCGGACTCTAGTCCTCCTAGCTGGGGTCGGAGTGGATGGGGTCGGAGGATCGCGCCACATCGCCGATGCATCAGCGATGCATCGGCAGTGCGGCTCGATGTGGGGCCGAATTCTTCCACGCCGACGTCGCGGATGCATCGTCGGCGTCGCCGAGGCATCGCTGGTGCATCGCCGATGCGGCGCCGATGCATCGCCGATGTATCGCCGATACGGCACGATCCTCCGACCTCTATGGACGTTTCTGGCCCTCTTGGGTGGCGTGCCTGCTCACGGGCAAACTGGACATCCGCACCGAGCCGTTTTCTCAAAAGCTCTCTGTTGAAGTTCTGATTCAAAAGGGTCCCCAAAACTTTTACAACGCTCAGATCTGATGAAACTCTGGACCCGTACTCTAAGCAATGTCTGATTTAACTTCCGGGAGTGTTCGAGGAGTTTTCCCCAGGAGTTTCGGTTGGAGTTTCTGGAGGTGTTATGAGTTTTCCGGGAGTTTTCCCGGGGAGTTGTTTCAGAGGTCTGCGATTTCCCGATAGTTGTCCAGGCCTGTTGTTTGATTTAGTTTTTATGTTTCCGGATTTCACATCAAGTTTGCGGGTTTCTGTTTTGGGAGTTTTCAGAGTTTCCAGATTTCTGAGTTTTCCGTGAGTTGTCCAGGGTTTTGTTTCTAGTGTTTTGGTATTGATTAATGTTTTGAGTTTGGGAATTCCCCTGGAGTTTTCCAAGAGTTGTTCTCAACGTTTTTGTCGGAGTTCCCTGATTCCCATGAGTTTGCTGGGATTTTATGTTTTGTTCATAGATTTGTTGGATGTTCGGAGAGTGTTTTGGAAGTTTGTTCTGTGAGTTTTTTTTATCAGGTTCGGGATTTCTCCTGCCATTCAGGGAGGTGTTTCAGTTTCTTTTGGGAGATTCGGGATTTCCCACAGGTTCCCCGTGAGTTTTTCCTGGGAGTCTTGTCGGAGTTTTTGCATTTAGCAGAGTTGTCTGGGAGTTGTTTCAAACTTTCTTCTGAGTTTCCAGGTTTTTTTTCCGAGAGTTACTCTTCGACAGTTCTTGGGGTTCCCAGATTTCCCAGTGTTCTCCCAGTAGTTCTATTGAGTTTCGGGATTTCTCGGAAGGTTCCCGGGAGTTGTCCCCGGGATTTTTGTTGGGGAGATGCGGGATTTCCAGGGGGGGGCGGGGGGGTCCTGGAGTTTCCCTGGAGTGTCCTGGAGTTCCCCAAGCTGTCCTCAGGGCGGAGTATATCAGGGTGTTCCCGAATTTCTAACTCTGCCTCCGTGTCTGCGTCGTCTTCATCTGCCCAGAGTTCAGCAGCACGCCAAAGGGTGGCGTCGTCTCCCAGCACTTGTAAGAATCTGCCGCCACCGCAGACGCGCAGCCCCCGGGGTCTCCGGAGGCGCCCCGTCGCCACGGGTGGCTCACTTTTGGAATTACTGCGGCCCTCAGCTCCACGTGTCGGGCCCGACGAGAGGGGGGGGATTGGGAAAGGGGGGGTTACGAAAGTTGTTGCATGCAGCCGGTTTCGGCCTCACCGAGGGGCCCATCCCTCGACACATAGTCGCCTCCGGCGCCGGGAAAATCAGCTACGTGAGCTGATTCTCAAACCCCTCCTTTGCTATCCCCCCCTTTCGCCCGACCCGAACATACCCCTGGAGAGGTCTGGGTGTGGATCTGAGGGGGGGGCGAACGAGTCGCCATGACGAGAAGGCGTCCTCAGGGAAGAGGGATCCCGAGGTGAGCGGCGCAAGGAAAAGCGGGGAGGCCTGCGCCGACAATGGCGCGCAGGCTGCCCGCGTAGGGTCAGGCATAAGCGCCTCCGTCTCCAATGTGGCCTGCCGCGTCGGCGGCCCGCGTAAGCTGCGGCGTAAGGTCGCCACGGCATCTCGCGCAAGACCCGTTTCTGATCGTCGCCCAGGTGTTTCGCCGTTTTCAATCTCTTCGGGGTCCTTCTGCCCGCGGCGAGGGGCTGTAACAGAGCTGGCTCGGAACGGAAACTGGACCTGGGAAGAGCCCCGGGGTCCATGGCCCGCTTCCCTCGGGATTCCTTTCCCTCCTGCCAGGGTCCATCGCCGCCAGCAGCAGATCGATGTCGCCAGGTGAGCGACGCAAGAAAGCAGTGCCGTTTGCGCCGACATTTTCGGGTAAGCTCCCAGCGTGCCTTCGTCTCCAATGCGGCGTGCCGCGCTGAAAGCTCGTGTAAGCCACCGCTTAAGGTCGTTATGTCATCTCGCCGAAGACTCGTTTCTGATCCTCGCTCACTTGTTTCGCACTGGTAACTGCTTGTTGGTCGCTGAACGTACCTAGTTTTGGACGTCCGCATCGTATACCTCCTTCGAGATCCTCCCTGCTTGAAGAGTCGACGAGCGGGTCTGAGCCCAGTCTATGTCGATCGCAGTGCTGCTTCATGCTTCTGCCTGGGTCTTCCGACCGCCGTGCGTGCCCTCGAAATTCGATCCCCGCACTTCTTTCGCCTGGGGTCTGGCCCACCCCCAATGCAAAAGAAGCGGGGCTGTGACGACGACGACGACGACTCCTACTCCTACTCCTACTCCTACTCCTACTACTACTACTACTACTACTACTACTACTACTACTCCTACTACTACTACTACTACTACTCCTACTCCTACTCCTACTACTACTACTATACTACTACTAACTACTACTACTACTACTACTACGACTACGACTACGACTACGACTACTACTAACTACTACTACTACTACTACTACTACTACTACTACTACTACTACTACTACTACTAACTACTACTACTACTACTACTACTAACTACTACTACTAGACTACGACTACGACTACGACTACGACTACGACTACGACTACGACTACGACTACTACTACTACTACGACTACTACTACTACTACTACTACTACTACTACTACTACTACTACTACTACTACTACTACTACTACTACGACTACTACTACGACTACGACTACTACTACTACTACTACTACTACTACTACTACTACTACTACGACTACTACTACTACTACTAGACTACGACTACGACTACGACTACGACTACGACTACTACTACTACTACTACTACTACTACTACTACTACTACTACTACTGCTACTGCTACTACTACTACTACTACACTACTACTACTACTACTACT